TGTTTTATAACCGAAAGGAATTTTAATTGTTTCTATTGTTCAGTTAATTATATTTAATTATACCTTAACCAGTAATAAGTGCACGTTTTATGTTAAAAAAAAAAAAAAAAAAAAAAAATATATATATATATATATATATATATATATATATATATATATATATATATATATATATGTATGTATGTATATATTTTTGCATATATATACACTTGCATGTATATATATATATATAAATATATATTTTTTACATATATATATATATATATATATATATATATATATATATATATATATATATATATACATATATACTGTAGTTATGTTTATCTTAAGAGCACGATTTTATATGTTAAGTGCATTTTCATTAACAGTATTTTGGTTTTATTATAGTTAGTCCTAAATTTAAGTGCACGTTGTAAATTGAGAATAGAAAACGAGAATAAGGTTATCGAAAAAAAATATATGAATGTGCAAGTATTATTAACATTATTTTTTTATAGTTTGGCCTAAATTCTAGTGCACGAAAGACAGCATAGAAAACGAGAATGAGGTTGCCTTAATCTTAGTATAAATTGTACGTGTTTGTGTACATGTGTGCACACGTGTGTATGGTTTGTGTGTGTGTGTGTACATGTGTATGCATACATGTGGCTTTGCATCTGTGTGTACATGTACATGTGTGTACATGTGTGCACATACCTGTGGATTTACGTGTGTGTACATGTGTGTGCATGTGGCTTTGCATCTGTGTGTACATGTGTATGCATACCTGTAGATTTACATGTGTGTACATGTGTATGCACACGTGTGGATAGCTTGTGTGTACATATGTATGTACACGTTTGGTTTGCGTGTGTGTACATGTGTGTGCATACCTGTGAATTTGCATGTGTGTGTAAATGTACATGTGTGCGCATACCTGTGGATTTACGTGTGTGTGTACATGTGTGTGCATACATGTGGATTTGCGTGTGTGTACATGTGTGCGCATACATGTGGATTTGCGTGTGTGTACATGTGTGCGCATACATGTGGATTTGCGTTTGTGTACATGTGTGTACATGTGTGCGCATACATGTGGATTTGCGTGTGTGTACATGTGTGTACATGTGTGTGCATACATGTGGATTTGCGTATGTGTACATGTGTGTACATGTGTGCGCATACATGTGGATTTGCGCGTGTGTACATGTGTGTACATGTGTGCGCATACCTGTGGATTTGCATGTGTATTTTTCATTTATCTAAACTAATTCACTTAAATTCACTCGAAAAATAAATACATCTCTTGTATTGCGAAGATATTCATTTTCATTCACAATTTTTTTTCTTCTAAAAAATGACTCATGTATTCACCTGTTCCTTATTCATGAGTGAGGGTCCTTGTCATCTCTCTCTATCCCCCCCCCTTTTCTCTCTCTCTCTCTTTCTCTCTCTCTCTCTCTCATTCTCTCTCTCTCTCTCTCTCTCTCTCTCTCTCTCTCTCTCTCTCTCTCTCTCTCTCTCTCTCTCTCTCTCTCTCTCTCTCTCTCTCTCTCTCTCTCTCTTTCTCCCTCACTCTCTCCCTCCCTCCCTCCCTCCCTCCCTCCTCCCCCCCCATTCATCTGTTTTACTCATTCACTCATTTACTCACTTCCTCACCTCTTCCTCACACACAGGGTCACTCATTTCCTCATTCATGAGTAATCTCCCCCTCCCCCTTCCGTCCCTCTCCCTCTCCCCTCCCCCATTCACTATTTTACTCATTTACTCATTTACTCACCTCTTCCTCACCTCTTCCTCACACACAGGGTCACTCATTCCCTCATTCATGAGTAAGGGCGCCTACCACCTCCCTCCCTCCCTCACTCACTCCTCCCCCATTCATCAATTTCACTCATTTACTCATTTACTCACCTCTTCCTTACACACAGGGTCACTCATTTCCTCATTCATGAGTAAGGGCGCCTACCATCTGCGCAACCGACTCATGGGCGGCGGACGAGCCAGGGCGCAGCATGTGCATCCCGCCCACGCCGTCTTCAGGGTGAGTAAAGATGAATAAATTGTTTTATTTATGAGTAAATTTGTGTTTTTTAATGAGTAAGGATGAGGAAATTGTGTTTTTTTATGAGTAAGTTGTTTTATTTATGAGTAAATTTGTGTTTTTTAATGAGTAAGGATGAGGAAATTGTGTTTTTATGAGTAAGGATAAGTAAATTGCGTTTTTATGAGGAATCTATTTATGAGTGAATTGTGTTTTATGAGTAAATTGTGTTTTTTAATGAGTAAGGATGAGGAAATTGCGTTTTTATGAGGAAATTCGTTTTTTTATGAGTGAATTGTGTTTTTTATGTAGAAATTGTGTTTTTTTTTATGAGTAACGGTGAGTGAGGTGAGTATTTTTTGTGTTATGATGAGTAAATTGTTTTTTATGAGTAAATTATGTTTTTTATGAGTAAATTATGTTTTTTATGAGTAAGGATGTTATAGAGGATGGGAATTTCATAGAAAACGTATG